CAATGTTGGATAAAGATGAGTGTCGAGGCCTCGGGTATAAATGGTCGAGGGTCGATGTGAGGAGTCTTTTGGAAGGAAAACTATTGGGGCCTTGGGTAAAAATGGTCAAGGGCCAATAGATGGTGAAGTCATCGGGGCCTTGGGTAAAAATGGTCGAGGGTCGATGCAGCAGTGTCAGGGCTCTGGGTAAAAATGGTCAGGGGCCGACTCTACTCGAAAGAGTTAGCTTTGGAAAGCTAGGATAGCTGTGAAAAGCGTAGAGGTGCTTGAGATGTTAGGAAGACTCGAGGTTGGTAGTTAAATTGTTCATGGTTGTGGTTATCGCCGGATCTTTTAGAGCGTGTCTATGTTTGATTGCATAATGTGATGAAGAGCATAACTATGAATGTTTCATGATTTTTGTTTTGAGCATGATGTTTGTGTGTTGTTGGTGAGGGCTACTTACGGAGTATATTTTATATACTCACCCCCCTCTACAATTATTGTTTTAGGCGGAGGATTCGTTGGCGACCATGGTGATGAAGCGGAGGAGACGTGACGAGTGAGGACCATAGTCTGCGTGGTTACTTTTGCTTAGCTTAGGGTTAGATGGTTAAAACTTTATGGCTCGGTCAACAAACTACTTGTTCTTATTTGAATAATTGGGAGGTTCCCACTCGTTGTCTACTTTATTTCGAAATAGGTGTTTATTTTAATTTTCTTCCATTCATTGAGTTTACATAGTTGGAATAATGAAATTGCCTCATGGGGTTGTCCACGGATGATGTTTGATTGATATTCTATAGGATTGATTCGTTGGTAAATTGATGGGAGTTGAAGCTTTATTTTTTATAATTATTTCACAGGGAGTTGTTATCTCGTGTTTGGAGTTAAGGTTAGACAGGTGGGTAGTTAACGTGACCTAGAAGCGTGTGGAACGTTCTGGGGCGTTAAACTTATCGTGCTTCAGCCTTGGCGATGCATCTTCTGATCACTTTATCTTGGCCAATCCTATAGAGATATGGGCCATCCCACAAATAAAACTTACTCTCATACAAAAACCTTTTCAGTTGTTGTTTGTTCATGCTTGCTGGCAGAATTACACTAGCAATATAGTTGGCTAGATCTGCAAACCATGGTTCCTCATCTTCATTTCGAACTCCAATAGCCAACACTTGCTCATCTGGAAAGGTTCCTCTAATTTCAATCCTATTCTCGGGGCATTCCAGAGTAGGCAACCTGGACAAGTGGTCAGGAACCAAATTTTCTGTCCCTTTCTTGTCCTTGATCTCTATATCCAACGAATCAGCCTTGGTTTAGCATCCTTCTTTATCAGTAAATATTTCAGAGCCGCATGGTCCGTGTAAACAATCACCTTTGACCCGACTAGATATGATCTGAATTTTTCAAAGGCGAATACCACTGCTAATAGTTCTTTCTCCGTGGTGGTGTAGTTAATCTGTGCCTCGATCAAAGTTTTGCTGGCATAGTAAATCGGGTGCAGCAGCTTCCCTCTGCGTTGAACAAGAACTGCTCCCACAGCATAGTCGCTGCCATCGCACATTAATTTGAAAGGCTGGTTCCAATCTGGAGCTGTCATTATCGGAGCATGGGTGAGAGCATACTTTAATGTATCGAACGCCTGCAAACAGTCAGATGTGAAGTTAAATTCTTTATCAATCTCAAGCAAAGAACAAAGAGGTTTAGAGATTTTCGAAAAGTCGTTTATGAATCTGCGATAGAAACCGGCATGTCCCAAGAAACTGCGGATGCCCTTGACATTCACAGGTGGGGGCAATTTCTCTATTGCTTCAATCTTTGCTTTGTCCACTTCTATGCCCTTTTTGGAGACTCTGTGCCCTAGCACAATTCCTTCTTGCACCATGAAGTGACACTTCTCCCAATTCAGGACTAAGTTTATTTCTTCACATCTTTGCAACACCCTCTTCAAATTATCCAAACATTCTGCAAATGATTTTCCAAAGACTGAAAAATCATCCATAAACACCTCAACTACTGATTCAACAAGGTCAGAAAAGATGACCATCACGCATCTCTGGAACGTTGCTAGGGCATTACAAAGCCCAAATGGCATTCGCCTAAAAGCGAACGTTCTATAGGGACAAGTAAAAGTTGTTTCTGCTGATCTTGAGAAGCGATTGTAATCTGATTATAGCCGTTGTAACCATATAAAAAACAGTAATACTCCTGACCTGCAAACCTATCCAGCATTTGGTCGATGAAGGGGAGAGGAAAGTTGTCTTTCTTTGTGGCTTTGTTCAGCTTGCGGTAATCCATACATATACGTCATCCACACACTGTCCTCATGGGTATCAACACTCACTCTTTGCGTTTTCCACTACAGTTATACCTCATTTCTTGGGCACACACTACACTGGACTTACCCACTCGCTATCTGAGATCGGATATATGATCCCTGCATCCAACCACTTGATAATTTCTTTCTTTACCACCTCCTTCATAGCCGGATTTAGTCTACGCTGGGGCTCTATAGAGTTCTTGCAACCCTCCTCTAGCACTATCTTATGCATGCAGAAACTGGGGCTTATCCCATTGATATCCTCAATAGTCCATCCAATTGCTCTCTGATGTGTCTTGAATACATTGAACAGCATATGTTCCTTTTCTAAGGGTAAGTTCGCTGCTATGATGATTGGCAATGTCTCTGATAAACCCCGGTAAGCATATTTCAGATGTTGTGGCAATGTTTTAAGCTCCAGCACTGGCGGGTCCTCAATAGATGGCTTGGGTAATCTAAGCTCTGGGTTTGTGAGGTCTAGGGATTCATATATTTTCTTCACAAATCCTTTGTTGGTGTTCAAGCATTCTGATTTGACAACTCTAGCTCCTCTTCAAATGCGTCGGCCATACTTTCGACGCCAACTGCTTCTAGACGTTCCAACATGACTTCTGTTTCCAGCTCCTCCATTAATGCTTCATCTAAGATCTTTAGTACTGAGAACTCTTCAGATTCAGCAGGAAATTTCATGGAGTCATGCACCGAAAATTTCACTTATTGATCTTGTACACGCATTGTAAGTTCACCCTTGTGGACATCTACTAAAGCTCTCCCAGTTGCGAGGAATGGTCTTCCAAGAATAATAGGGACCTCCTTATCTGCATCATAATCCAAAATAATTAAGTCAGCAGGGAAAATAAATTTATCTACTTGTACCAACACGTCTTCAATTTTTCCCTCTGGATGCGTAATGGATCGATCCGCCAGCTGCAATGTCACTGTTGTGGGCCTTGCTTCCCCAATGCCCAACTTGTAAATTGATAATGGCATATGATTGATGTTAGCGCCCAGATCACATAAGGCAACCCCTAGTTGTTGTCCCCCAATTGAAACTGGTATGGTGAAACTCCTAGGATCTTTCATCTTTGCAAGAATTTTGCTCGTGAGTACAGTGCTACAAGCCTTAGTCATTGCTACTGTTTCATACTTTCCCAACGTTCTTTTCTTTGTGAGTATTTCTTTCAAGAACCTCACATAATTCGACATTTGCTCTAGAGCTTCCACCAACGATATGTTCACGTGCAGTTGCTTCAAGACACCTAAAAACTTCTTGAAATGAACATTTTGCTCCTTTTTCTGCAACTGGTATCGCTGGCCTATATTCTGCTGGAGCATTTACATGCTCCGCCTATTTTCTTTTCTCAGGCACTATATTCTGTGTAAACCCTATCTCAGGTGCTCTAACAATTACTGGATTGACTGATTGTTTGGATGTGTTTTGATCGTCGTTTGGTTGTTCAGCTATTTGTTCTGGTTGAGTGGTCACGAGTACTTCTGCTGGCTTACTGTCCTGTTCTGACTGAGTTTCTCCGTGGTCAACTCGAGTATGTTTCTTGCTCAATGCTGGGTGATTACGCTTGTTTACATGCGTAAAAAGAAGGTTTTAGATGCTGTTTTTACTATGTTTCAGCTTTGTTTTGGACTTTTCTCGGTCATTTGAGTTCCAATTCATGCAAAATTCATATATGATGGTTTGTGGTTGGCTTATATTGTATTTATGACATTTTAGGACCATTTGGGAGTGCAAATTAATCAAAAGAAGCAAAAAGTCGGAAATACCTACATGGGAGGCGCCAGACGCCTGGGAAGGCTCCAGAAAACAGTTTTTCTTCCAACTTTGCCCTTAATGAAACGCGTCTTCCCATGCGTTTTGGTGGTTCCAACCGATGCATACGTGTAGAARAAGTGTTCCACTATCAGTTTGAGCACGATTTGGTCAGTCAAAAGAGTTAGAAATGGGTGATTCACCATCGTTTTAGGACCTACCTAACCAATTCTGCACAGCTATAAATTCCAGCAGCTTCTCCACCAAA